TTACAAAACCAAGAAATATTTTAAAAGACCAACTTCCTCTATGAACAAATTTAAACTAAAAAAAAAAGAATTACCATGTAAAACTTAATATGAAAAATAAATATTCCTAAATTCTATCATCGCTATTTTTAAATCAAAAATAAAATAGGGTTTAATTTTTGGATGTTAATAATTACGTACGAATACATACAAGACCTATAAAAATCAACATATGATCAAACTGATGTATCAGTGATTTTTTATTGATATCAATAAAAGTTTACTACTAAAATCTACATTCATTTTCTTTTATTTTCAGAGTTTGCTCACATTGCAATACTTTTAATATTATTAAAAAAAAATTCAAACACAAAAAACATTAGCATGGCCTCTATGTTACAAAATGGATGAAACTATTAATACATATGTAATTTCACACACTAAATTTATGACTTTAAAAATATCCAAAAGTTCAAAATTTAAAAATAAAATTTCTAAATTAATCTTTTAAATGATCTTTTACATATTTCATTTCTATAAATTTCTAATACAATATAAATTTGATGATCCTGAAAATGAATGTAAATATTTAATGATAATACAGGTAGTTCAAAGTACTAGAAATATTTTATGAAATATTGATGTAAAAATAATAATAATAATAAATGAAAATTTATTTGATAAAGATTTTGTATGTTTTGCAAAAGTATATAAAACTGATCTTTGTAATTAAAAAAGTATTTGTACTTTTAATTATGTATTTACTATTATGCATTTATGTTATGTATAATACCGTATTTTAATTATGTTATAAATCATGGGTGAACCATACATTCTGACAACCACAATTACGGAGTCAACAATTTAATAATGTCATTTTAGAAATACCATGACAATGCTACGTCTTGGTTATCGTATCATACTAAGTATTTTGCTGCATAAATATGTGATCTTATTGCTTCTAACAAAATATTTCTATCATTTTTGAAAGAATATAGTTATATAAAGTACAGGTAATTCCGTATAACACGGGAGTTATGTTCCAAAAAATTGCAGTGTTATGCGAATCCATGTTATATTAAACAAAGAACTAGTGCGAAAAGGGGGTTAGGTTCCAAAAATTAAAACACATGCTGTTAAATCCTTATTTAAATTGGATTTATTATTCATTTTTTTCATAGGTAAAATACTTATTTATTAAGTAAATATTTTACCAGAGGATTATTCATCCTATATGATGATCTGAGCATGAGCATCATCAACTGGTAACAGTTTTGGGGTGCGTTAGTTAATAGCAGTTGCTCTGCAACAGGAATGCGCTGCTGTTTGTAGGCATTTAGAAATGACGGTGAAAGAAAGATGGCGACACCCGCACTATCGATATTATCGTGATGGAGGAATCTATACTTCTGAAATGAGCTTTTAGAGGAAAAAGAAGGGTCCCAATTGTAAAATTTAACCATTAAATGGCTTATTGTTGAAAGAGTGTTCAAAGTAGCCACGAAAACAATTAGAAGGCTCATGCAGAGTTACACAGAAGTATAAAAGAATGCATCCTTTATTACATTTCTTGTTGTACAAGGGTTTTACCCAATTTCCGAACCGTGTTAGAGTGAACCCGTGCTATAAAACCACCATGTTATACGGGGAATGTTCCCAATTCTCAAACCGTGTTAGAGTGAATCCATGCTATAAAAGTGCCGTGTTATACGGGGGTTACCTGTATTTAGTATAGTGATGTAGAATCTCTGAACCGTCAGATACATGATATGAGATGCACTGATGATGTTTCTAAGTCATGTTTTAGCCACCTTTGTTTCATATCATTCTTATCTGCTGGAGATGGTTACGTAACTGACCAGAAATGTATAAAATACACAAAGAAACCAAGCTGAATAAAAACGTTTCATTTATTAGAATCTTTGCTTAAATTATTTATCAGGGCCTTTTCAAACATTAAAATCAAAAGATTATGAAATGGTCTAGTTTTATTGCAGTTAAGCATAGTTTACGTTGATCTAGCAAAATTATGCTTAAATGCAATAAATCAGGCAGCACTTTAGTGTCAAACTTAGTTTTTGGCTTTCTGAACAAAATAATTATCATCATCTTTCATTATGGAACAAACAGCATGATACAAAATTTTATGAATTTCTACAGTAAAAAGAATTTTAAAAATATCATATAAAAGTCTAATCAACATATTTTCAGAAAAAGTCATACATACATTATTTTTATCTTTGAGTCTAATTATTTTTATTTCCCAAAAACATAAATTGCTTTCCTAAAATTTAAATCTTTATTATTCTAGTATTTTTGGGTTCTTACAATACATCTTCATGGACATTAACAATAAAAAAAAATCCTTAAAAATCATATCTTAATAATGCATTTTTGATTATATTTTCTTTACACACCATCATCTAACAAATATTTGTCCATCTCTTTTAAACTTTTTTAAAACAACTCCTTCTTTCTGGCTATAAAATATAAATCCTAATGATCATTTTTATCATTTTACTTTCTGTCTTTCCCCTTCCAACCCTGCTATCATTTCTACCTCCTCTTCTACCAATCATCCATATCTGTGGATTTGGTAAATTATCACAAGTCATTATTACAGATAATATGTAGTTCTTTTTTTTAAAATCTTTTTCATAAAACTAGATCTTTTCTGTCCACCTGAAATTTTCCTCCTCTCTTAAATCTTCTACACACTATCTCTTTTCATTAATATAGTTGTTCTTAAGTCTCTGTTATGCTCTTTCATAGGGTCCTCCTCATAACTCTAACATTTTTTATCCTCTCTAACTAAAGATCACACTTGTACCACTGAGTTTCCACTATTACCTATTTTCCTCTTTCATTCCTCAGAGCACTCATTCTTCTTTGCAAATTTGTTTCCTGACCTAAATTTGAACCTTCATTCCTATTTTCTCTACCCACAAATGCAGAAAATGTACCCTCTTCTTTGATTTCTATCTTCGCTTTACATACAATCCTAAACTTTCTACCAAATGTCCTAATACAGATATCCCTCAAACAACATGACACTTCTACAACACGGTTTCGCTCTGACAAAGTTTGAAAATTAAGGAAATCCTCCGTACAAAAGTTTGCAATTTTTAAGTGCAAATTCCATTATTCTATATTTTTTTTCAAGTAACTTGCATGTTGTCTCAAATTTGCCCACAGATTTTAGAATATTGAAATTTTCAATTTGTTTTGTGCCTTTCATCAGGTTTACTTTAATGAAAATGGATAATGTAATTTTTTCTTCTTTGTTCCAGCTTTCCTATCAACCAGATGATGTTGTTGCTTTCAGACTTTAGTCCTTAAGATATCACCATGTTTTGTTTTTATAGATAAATCTTCATACAGTAAGATCTCACTTAACATGGAGGATACGTTCCTAGATGGCAAAGCACTAAATGAAACAGCATTAAATGAAGTCATTTTAACAGTAAAAAGGGAAAGGAAAACACGCAACCAAAAATAAACAGATTTTACTTTAAGTTATTTTTATATTAATTTGCATAATAATATGTTAAATAACACAAACATATGCACATAGAAATGTAAAGTTCATTTTTTATGATGAAGGTTCTGGGTCTTCTGAAAGTCTTGATTTTTTTGCAATAAAGTCATGTAGTTTCATTTGTTGCTTTTTTTTTCTTTCCTTAAGCAAATGTCAGTAGCAGGAGATTGCATCGAAAACACCTCATCTTTCTTTTGCACTCCTTTCAAAATCTGCATCATTCACTACAATTTGATCAACAATTTCGGTTATCATTACCAAACTTTTACCAAGGAAATCTGTAGAGAAATTCTTTGGGTTCTTCATTTTCAGAATGACTATTTTCCAGTTCTACATGAATTCCTTGTTCTGCCAGTTCTTGAAGGTCATTTACTGGTAAGACTCTCACCAGAAACCTGCAGTAACTCCTCAATATCCTGCTTGTCTACATCTCCTAGTCCTGCTGTATTGATTAGGTTGACAATTTGGTCAACCTAATGATACAGCAATAGGCTCTTCTCGTTGAGAATTCTTGGATACCTCCAGCCATTACTTCTTCCACACTCCATTCATGCATTGATCAGTTAATTCTTGCCAAGCAGAGTCGATATTGCCTATGGCATCCATGATATATTTCTTCCAAAACTGCACCAAACAAACAGATTTAAGGAAAGTACAATGCTATAACAAATTGCCACCTTTTGCTGATTGGTTCGTGTTTGGGAATAATTTTATTATATATGAATCAATAAAATGCTGCAATAATTTGAATCAGCGTAAATTTTGAGCTTTTTTTTTAGGCTTTGAGCAGATCGCATTATATCGAATCAGCATTAAGCAGGGTCTTACTGTATTTAGTAAAATTTACTTAAACATTTTAAGTAAAGATTATCAAACTTTTTTAACAATAGATAAGTAATCATTTGTAAAAACAAAAAAAAACAAAATACACTGGTATCTTGGTATTCTAACTGTTTCCAATTCGAAGAATTCATATTCAAACACAAATTCTGGAAAAAATTACTCGGCACTCAATTGAGAAATGCAACCCACTAGAACAAATTTTCAATTAATAACAGTTTTATTTTGTCATCCATAAAAATAAATTAAACTTCTCTCTGACAGTGGGGATGAATTACTAAATACTGAACCTGTTACCGGTGTAATTTGCGTGAAAAAACTTCTTTCCACAAACGTTTTTGAGCTTCCAAATAGCTCTTCTTCAGGTAGAGAAAAAATTCCTTCGAAACACTTCGAAAAATGGAACGTAGATATTTAAATAAAAAACCGAATCTAAAAATAGAACGCAGATGTTTAAACAAAAAAAAAATATGAAACTCGCATAACGAACGATCATTAAGATGGTCATGCGCATTCTAAAAAGAAAACTAAAGAACAACCTGAGGTCACCGAGCTGAGAAATAAACTTAGACACACGAACGAGTGGATGCAACGTAACGGGATCATTCTCACCAGGGCAGATAAATCTAAAACGTTAGTCCTCATGAGACGCAGCACCTACCGCCAAGGCTTAAAGGAATACATCAATATCACCCAATGCGAAAAGGAGAATGAGAACGTGGTGGACAAAATACAAAATAAAGTTAAGAGATTTGCAAACTCCAAATTGGCAAAATGCCTTGCATTGGGCAACATAATAGTCGATTCCCCGGATACACCAAGACTTTTTGCATTTGCCAAAATGCACAAAATGGGCCAACAATTACGTCCAATAGTCGATAAAATCAGAGCTCCCACAAGAAAATTGGAGAAAGCCATTCACAACCTACTTTCTCCCCACCTCAAGGGCTACCAGTATACCATCGATAACCCAGTTGAGCTCATCCACCTCCTTCGGGTTTTGTCTTCGACGCCGCAGTATATTACCGTGCTAGACTTTAAATCTATGTACCCATCGGTGGAGCTCCCTCCAGCTTTTTGCTCCCTTAGGGACATTTTGCTTAATTTGACTCAAGAACAAGCATTACACCAGCAAGTCATTGAATTAGCCAATCTGATCTGTTATAATTCTATCTTTGCATTTGACAAAGAAGTCTACAAACAAAAAAGAGGAGTCCCCATGGGTAGCCCAGTATCCGGGGACCTATGCGAAATGGTCGTTAGGCAACTTGAACGGAAAATACTTCCACTGTTCCTCCCGAACATCTTACTCTATAGAAGGTATGTGGACGACATCCTCATCATGTGGAAGACAATACCTGACATCTCAAATTTCATACAAACCGTTAACGATAATCCCTACGGCCTAACGCTGGAAATGGAACAATCTAGCAATACTGAGGTCCATTTTTTGGATATAAACATTAAAGTAGAAGGATCCACCATCGTCACGTCGGTATACCGTAAACCTTATGCCGCCTCTATATACATACCGGTAGGTTCATCCAACCCATTCACCTACAAGGCTGCAGCATTTAATACTTTGATTAAAAGGGCCTTTTCCCACTCGTCCACCACGCAAGCCCTCAACACCGAATTGAATTATATCAAGAGGATAGCAGCCAAGCACGGTTACCATGGTCTAACACACAATCTAATTGAGCAACATCAACGCTCACAATACGCACCCACTACGAGTACAAAGACCAACACTGACCAGGATGAACGTACACGCCTCCCAGTCACCTTTAACCCATATGTTAAAGCAATATACGCTGAGATCACCGGAAAACAACAATTACAAATAGCCTATAGAAGATGCCCAACAATCTACGACATCCTCAGAAATGGAAAAGGCAGTCCAGTTCGTAGCAGGCTTCCTGGCGTGCACTCTATCCCGCTGAAAGATAACAGATGTAACGAGAACCTTGTCTATATCGGCTCAACCAAGCGATCTTTAAATACCAGAGTGCAAGAACATCAAGCAGACCTTCGGCATGGGCGGTACACCACGGCCCTAACCACCTTTGCATCTGATTCCGATATAGAACCGGAGTTCGACAAAGCCGACATCATCGACACTACGCCCCACCTGGAACAACTAAAATGGCGGGAAGCTATATCCATCTGTAAGGCTAACCACCGGACCACATGTATAAATCGGAAGGATGAGATAAATCTTTCTATAGCGTGGCAGGCCCTCATAAACAACGATCTATAAATAGCAACATCAACCCACAAATGCGCATGACCATCTTAATGATCGTTCGTTATGCGAGTTTCATATTTTTTGTTTAAACATCTGCGTTCTATTTTTAGATTCGGTTTTTTATTTAAATATCTACGTTCCATTTTTCGAAGTGTTTCGTCGGAATTTTTTCTCTACCTGAAGAAGAGCTATTTGGAAGCTCGAAAACGTTTGTGGAAAGAAGTTTTTTCACGCAAATTACACCGGTAACAGGTTCAGTATTTAGTAATCCATAAAAATTTTTATGATTAATTAAAAAAAATGCTGATATTTCTGATCAAAATCAATAAAATAGCTCAGAACATGAGTGTACTTTATAAAATGAAAATATCCTCATTTAACTAAAATTAACATTAATGTGTAATACAGTACAGTACTTTTAATTGTGATTAATTAATTATCGATTGCTTTAACAAACACATTTACTACAATTTTGACCATCAGCCCTGGTATGAGACCCAATGGTTACCCATCTCTCTTCTGCTTATAAAATCTATTATTAAACTTGAAAAATATATTGTAAATAACCAAGTATACCAATTCTGACCAATCTTTAAAGCACATGCCTTCTATCTCTGTCTTGCCAAAAAGTCCCTCGAACAACAGAGTCAGTTCTTGTATAGAAGGACAGGTATAGAGACTCAAAATCTAGCATCACTAGGACATCTTTCTTATCCATCTCTACATGTTTCATCTTACTCACAAAAATCCAGCATATTTTTCATTTCAAATTCAAATCCTCCAAGCTTTCCTTTTAAGAAATTCATCAAACTTCATTCAATTCTATAAACAGGAAGGTTCTCTTCTCAGTAATAGGTCTAATTCACCAAGGTTCCTTATGCGTTTTACTGAACCAAAAAGTCTCAGGTCTGAGACATTTATACTATTTTTGCAATCTTTTAGAAAAGCTGAATCATCATTTTTTAGAACCTTTCTTGTTTGTCTGTCAGTCCTTTTAACTGTGTCCTCCTCTAACTTCACACATTGTTTTTTTAATGTATACAAAGCTTTCTTGCCAAAATTAATCTTTCTATAACAAAATTGCATAAGAAATAACAAACAAAAAAATATATATATATATATATAATTGCTTTTAAGTCATTTCTTCAAAGTCAAGGGGATCTACAAATTATAGTACATACAATTAAAGGAAAAAGGTTTGCCAAAGGAACATTGTTGTAACTATAAAAGAATTTTTATCTCATTATTAACATTGTTTTTTACAACAGAAAGGGAAGGGGTCAAAAGTGGCTTAAAACTGTACACATAATTAATGAACAGCCACTATTTTGATCAAATCAAAGTTATAATGATGATTCTACATACAATTTGAATCAAAAAATTTTATCTTCATAAAATTATGGATAATTCTTGGTCTGAATAACCAAGTTTCCTTCAAAGAATTATAAAAAATATGATTTGATTTTGATAGTTTTATCAATGTTATCTTATTAATAAACTTTATCATCTTTTTTTTTCATAAGTCTAATATTTGAATAATTATAAAAGCAGCCTTTAAAGATAATTTTAAAAGGATTAAAATCCAGAATAATATTAAAAACTCTTTCCATCTTGTAATTAAGAAAGCCCTTCTTTACATTCATTAAGGATTTGATTAAGCTTGCAACAGAGTGGCAGCTATGGGGGACAGGTTGAATAATGTCAAGTTATGCATGCCTAAATGTGAATGTAGCGGGTGAAAACAAATGCAATAGGTTAAATGCCGAGTGTTAGTAGTACACATTTTCTCAACAAATATACTGGACAATTGTGAAAAATAAATGGACTTCTCATATTTTTACTTTATGAGACAACTTGCTTACTAGTTTGTACTGTACATTCTTATCAATATTTTACCTTCAAGTAATGTAGCTATTTCTAATTGTTTTAGATTTTCTGAGCTAGTAAATCAAAATCTGTTGTAGATAGTTGCAGATAACCTGGATTATGTAGCATTCTCGTATAGCATAGTGGTTTATTTGGTTTGAAACTGACTGAAGATGTGATAATTTCTGTTGTAAAAAATTTGATTGTATTGATTGTGATCTTTAGAGTTGAATTCTAAAAATTTCTACTGTTTAACTGCAGTCATTTTTTTCCAAAGTTAAAACAGATATTTGTTAGGCATATCTAATGTTACATACACAGTATAGCATCATTCCATTTGCACATAAGTTGAAAGTAGAATAATCTTTATTAAAACTATAAAGTTGATTCTTGTAAACCTACTCTATATGAGAATGTTACATATAATCCAAGTTATCTGCAATTATGTATAACACATTTTGATGAACTAATTCAGAAAATCTAAAAGAAACAGCTACATCAATGATTCCCAATTAGTGGTACGTGTACCCCCAGGGGTACACGAAATTGCATGAAGGGGTACGCGCGGAAATCTAAAATCAGTTGATTTAAAATTTAAATGCATGAGATGAAGAAATCAAAAAAATAATGGGTGGACCATCAAAAATTCAACAATTTACAATGTGATGTTGAATGCACAAATTCGTTCATTTATAACCAAACATATTCTTGAAATTTCATCAAAAAAATGCATTTGTGACAATACCTAAATGAAATTCTTACGCAAGAAACAAAAACTGTACAATTAACACAATTTGTGTTAATTGTATAATTATCATTATAATCATGTCAACAAAGCGGCAATAAAATATTTACTACCATTTTGCACAACATACCTCTGCGAGAGTGGATTTTCAGCCATGATAAACATGAAAACTAAACATTGTCACCGACTTCAACTCGAAGATGACTTGAGACTGAAGCTGACCAAAAAGCAACCAGATTTTACAAAGTTGTGCAAAGAAAATCATGCACATTTGTCACATTAAAATTAAATAACCTTTTGTTATTTTCATTATTATTAGAATTGTATTTTAAAGGTAATAAATGTAAAAAAAACTTATTCTATTTATCACTAGCTGTCTACCCACAGCTTCGCCCGCATTATATCAAATTTTCTCGTGGAAGTAAGATATTTTCTCGCAGTAAAATGTAGCCCATGTCATCTCAAACATGTAAGCTATCTCTGTGCCAAATTTTATTAAAACTTGTTCAGCAGTTTAGATGTGAAAAGGTGACAGATAGACAGAATTACCTCCGAATTTATATTAGTATGGATTAATATGAATTTCTGCTATAAGGGATACGCGAGTTTGAGCTCCTTCTTGAAGTGGTACGCAGGAAAAACTAATTGAGAACCACTGAACTACATCATCTGAGGGTAAAATATTAATATAAATGTACAGTCGACCCCCCTATAACACTGTTGATAATTTCGCTTTATATGAATTCCATGTTGTATGAGTCACTTAGATTTTACAAATACATGTGCCAGGCTGTAAACGGCTCAAGTATTTGTAAAATCTAGGTGACTCGTACAACATGGAATTCATATAAAATGAAATTATCAACAATGTTATAGGAGGGGGGTCGACTGTAATGAGAAAATTGGCTCAAATAATAAAAATATGAGAAAATGATTTTTCACAATGTTTCAACATGATGGTCAGGCAGCGGAAAGAGTTAAAAAAATCTTCCAACTTTTTATTTCACAAGAATATGCATATTGCTAATACACAATATACACCTATTCATTTTGTTTTCATTGACTACACCTAAGCACATACAAATCATTCTTGAAAATTTCAGAGAATCAGACCCGAATGCAAATCAGTCCTCCAGAGTGATAGCTCTGAAATCCCTCCACTATTGAGTATAAATTTCTAAGAAAATCATTTTCTATTGAGACATATTTATTTGCAGATAAGTAATCAGTCATTTTAAATTCCACTGCAATTTTCTCTCTATATAACAGTGAATTGCATTCTGAATACTCAACTCATTATTATTGTTATTTATACTTGAAAGATGAAGTACCACTGTAATTTCATTTTCTATTTCAGCATTTCTGACAACGTAATCAAAATAAATTTTCAAGAATATTTCCATTATTGTTCAAATAAATAATCAATTAAGATATTTGATTTAATTACATCAGCTTTTATAACATTCTTTAAATCAACCGAATATATAATAATAACTAAATAAAGTCATACTTTGATCAATATGATAATGTTACTGTGAATAAATTTTACTCACCTGAAAAACAGTGATACTGTAACTGTTCGATGATCAACTGTAAAACAACTACTTTATTTTTTAATATAGATAGAAATATTCTTTATTTCCAAATTTTCTACACTCTAATTCACACAAATATAATGATTTTTCTTCATCTAATATAACAATATTTTGATTCTTTGCAATATTTAATTCAAAATCAAACAGTTGCTTATAGGAAAAATCATGTTAGCATCTAAGTTTTTCTCCATTTAAAAAATAGATTTGACAGTTCAAAATTTATTTTATTTTTCATTTTATAGTGTTATTAATGTATTAATGTAATAAAACTTCAAATAAATTAAATGAACAAAGAAATAATACAGATTTTAATTTTAAAACAAAACCCGTCCATTAAAATCTCTTAAGTACAGCGTAGAATGTTGATAAAGCACAATAATGTGAAAAATGTATCTGTAATCTCTATCTACAATTTAGTCTTTGTGGGGTGACACCACAATGAGATCTCGCATCACCTCAAAATCTTCCTAGGGCAGCCTCTGGATCAGCCCTTGAAAAAAGTTTTCTTTCCAATTCGGCCCAGGGGCAAAAACTGTTGGCCACCCCTGGATTAGATGATTGGAAAATAACTCTAGGAGTAAAGCCATACTTGTGTGAGCTGCATATGCTGTTGCTCCATCTCGTTGGAACCAAATTGTGCCAGCCACATTTTATGCTTGTAATTCTGGCATTAGGAAATTTCACGTCACCATAACAGTCAGATTTGACAGTTACTGGATCCTAAACAATCATCAAAAAGTAGGGGCTAATAATCCTATACATGCCCACTGTATAGAATTTTCTGTACGGCTAGAGATTTTCAATTG